CGATCGTGCACGATGCTCACATGTACAGCTGTGAACTTGCGACCATCGATCGCGAAGTCCTCTCTTCCCTGCCAGAGCTTCTCCGCTTGTGCATTGCGGAGGAAGGAAACAGTCACCGGGATCTCCTCAGCACTCGCTATCTCGGGTCTATACGGAGCCTTCCACATGATTGCTTTACTCTCTTGCACTGAGTCTACGATCAGTCCGATCTCTTCAAATTTCTTCTTCAGCTTTTCTTCATGGTTGACATACACCGAGGAGATCGGATGCCCAGGAGAGTCATGGAGATGAAGGAAGTCACCTCGTTGCCTGCTGAGGCGGTGTATGTCTCGACCTTCTCTTTCTTGGCTTCTTCAATCTGCTGCATAAACCACTCTCTGGACTCGGGATGCGTCACTCCATCCAGTCATCGCTTCTTGCAGAAACTCACGTCGTGCCTGCTGACATGTCGAGCGGATGGCTTCAGCGATAGCGTCGGGGGTGCATCCCTCCACAGCCTTGCAAGCCTGGGCTGTCCTGCTGTTCGGATAACGCTTCGCGAAGCTCTTCACCCTCTCGACGAGATCAGCTTCGAGGACAGAGGCATCCACAAGTCCGCTCTGCGTGTATTGGCATGATCTCCGATACAGCAGGTTGCGAACATTTTCATCATACTGAAGAACCATACTTAGAAAGCTATTTGAAGTATACAAACCTCTTGCTTGCAGCTTCCTTGGCGCCCTGGCGGCTTCCCCTACACCTGACGAGGAGCCATGCTGCCGAAAATAACGGCGCCTGCCGAAAATAACGGCGCCTGCCGAAAATAACGGCGCCTGCCGAAAATAACGGCGCCTGCCGAAAATAACGGCGCCTGCCGAAAATAACGGCGCCTGCCGAAAATAACGGCGCCTGCCGAAAATAACGGCGCCTGCCGAAAATAACGGCGCCTGCCGAAAATAACGGCGCCTGCCGAAAATAACGGCGCCTGCCGAAAATAACGGCGCCTGCCGAAAATAACGGCGCCTGCCGAAAATAACGGCGCCTGCCGAAAATAACGGCGCCTTGCCGAAAATAACGGCGCCTTTAAAATAACGGCGCTGTCCTGCTGTTCGGATAACGCTTCGCGAAGCTCTTCACTACAGCAGGTTGCGAACATTTTCATCATACTGAAGAACCATACTTAGAAAGCTATTTGAAGTATACAAACCTCTTGCTTGCAGCTTCCTTGGCGCCCTGGCGGCTTCCCCTACACCTGACGAGGAGCCATGCTGCCGAAAATAACGGCGCCTCCTAAACCCTAAACCCTAAACCCTAAACCAGGCTATCCGAGGCTAACTAAACCCTGAACTAAACCGGGTACCCTGATGATACTCCTGATGATACCCGTGGATACTCGTGGCATAAGGACAAGATGCACTGCTCAATGCGTAAGCGTGTCTGTATGCCGATGCTGATGTTTCATATGCTCATGCATGTCGAGCTTTCATCAAGCTTCCTCTCTTGCAAATTACCGGTCCCAACTAGGAATTGCGTGCTCAGCCATTGCTTGGTAAAAAGAGCAAAATTTGATCGCCGACAACTACTTATGAACTACGTTACCATCGATGTAGGAAACATTAAAAAGGAACAAAGGCTTCCCATCAGCATGACAGAATCGTTTCAAAAGTGGATTCTTTCTGAAGATGAATTGAGGCCTTTCTTCAACAGGTAAAATGGGGACTTAATCGTTAAAATATGTCTGATTTTTTTCTTCGTTTTTCAAGTGCATCTTATGGAAAAGAAAGTGGTTGGGTAGATCCCTTCTCATTCGACGAGGCATGGTTGCCGACGGATCTTCCTCTCCCTCTGATGCGACCAGCTATTGGGGCCTTGACGAAGGATGGACAAGTCAAATACCTCATGCCGGCACTGGATATGTGTGTGCAGGCGGGAGGGAAACTTTGGTGGAATCGAGGCATCAACTCAGTCCCACTTGCTAAGAGATGGCTGGATGTGAATTGTGCTGATCTAAGTCGCATGTCAATCCAAGCTTTCTGCCAAGGCGGGTATGAAGATGCAAAACGAGCTGTAAAGGAGCTGGGCGATGATCACCCTGATAACGAACTTGGACCCTGGAAAAAGTTGTGGGAAGCGCCGGCAGCGAAAGGAATAGTAGAGCTTGTTGAAACCCTCTCCGATGACAAAGGTGCATGTGTAGAGAAAGGGTATCATATCATCGTCATCCCATTGCCCGAAGAGCCTTTGCGCGAAGCTCCTGATGCTGGAAATAGACTTCGCTTATGTTTGTCTGCGGCAGGAGCTATAGACCCGTTGCAGGATGGAATAGAAACGACATACTCAGAGTTGAATGTGCTCTTCCGAGCAACCATGCCAGGGAATGAATCTGAACATATGCCACAAGTGTACAAAGAACTTTTCAACCTTGCGGGCTCATGAAGTGATCGAAGCGCAGTCAGAAGTGATGAAATTGCAGACTCACAAGTCGAGAAACTGGGAGGAATCACGCGTTTGCATGAATAAATTGCAAAAAGTTGACTGTTAGGACATACGCAGTCTAAGCTTACACGAAAATACTAGAAGACATAACGACGCCTGCCGCTTTCAAGGCGCAAGTCAGTAGACTGATCCCCCTCGAAGTACATAAGGGACTTGTGACTTGAAGACTTGGAACGAGGAGTGAACTGAAGGTTTGATAACAAGCTGCTCAACTGCCCAAGCTGATCCATGGCGCTGCTGCTGATGCTGCTGCTGATGCTGCTGCTGCTGCTGCTGGGCATCTTCTTGGAACCTTCCGACAAGAAGCTACTGAATTCTTGTCTGAGCGGAGCAAGTCGATCTTGACTTGTTGATGACCTTGCTGTCTCGTCTGTCGATGAATCAATCTCGTCCAATTTGAACACGTCATCTTCACCGATGTCCTGCAAGATCCGCACATCCTTCTCCGACGTAGATATCACCGACCCTGCTCTATCGTGTTCTGAAGTCACATGGCAACCATATTGAGCTTGATGACCATCTTGTAATATTGACACCATCTTTTGAGCTTCATGGAGCCGATTGATAGCCAAGCTTATCTTCGTTCTCTCGGCATTAAGACCATCCATTTGAACAAGCAGCCAATCCAGCCAAAGCGTGCACTCCAGAGTTTTTTCTTTATCTTTGCATGTGTCATACTCTTTGCTCAACTTCAAGAGGTCTTCTTCTTTTTGACGATCCAATCGCAGCAACCTGAAACTGAAATGAGACCCCCAAAGCCGTAGAGCCTCAAACCTCCGCCAACTCACAAAGCAACTTGTGTTTGAAGTGTGGGAACATCAGTGATCAGTTCTGGCAGCCTAGCTCTGTTGTTAAGTCGCTCTTTTCCAAGCATGTACTCGCGAATGTCGGCATTGAACGTCTCCCTGCTCTCGTTTGCTGAATGTTGCATGAAAAGGCGTCCGAATTTGACAAGGGCCATCAAACAATTGGGTCTCTCAAAAACCTGAGGGTGGTTTGAGAACTGCCACGGCAGGGCAGAGTAGAGCAGGAGGAAGAGGAGAGGCAGAGTAGAGCAGGAGGAAGAGGAGAAGCAGAATAGAGCAGGAGGGAGAGGAGAGGCAGGATAGAGCAGGAGGAAGAGGGCAGGCAGAATAGAGCAGGAGGAAGAGGAGAGGCAGAGTAGAGCAGGACGAAGAGGGCAGGCAGAGTAGAGCAGGAGGAAGAGGAGAGGCAGAATAGAGCAGGAGGAAGGTCCCTTGCTTGCCTTGGAGGAAAGGAAGTCGTATCTGAGGTGGCTCTCGGAGTCTAAACTTTCAAGAGAAAAGAATTGCTTCAACAATTTCACTTGGTTCAACATTTTCTGATCCTTGCAGAAAATTTCATAGAGCTAATCTGAATCACCAAGCGATGAAAGAAGTCAATAGTCTCTTGGAGAGGAGCAGAGCCATGGGATCAATCAATTCAGCCGACGAATATCCGACGAATATCCGAAGGCACTTGAAACCATGGCAGTCCGGCATGCGTATGCTAGCCAAAAGAAAAGGTACGAAAAATTCGTAGAGGTGATCCAACCCTCGCACTCTTCTGTACGTGTTCTAGCAAGCCACCAAACAACGCTGGAGGATCAAAAAAAAATATTCTCGTAGGTCCCTTTCACAAGGTCAAAGGCGAGCACAGCATCCCCGCACATGCTCATCTAGTTTCTACAACCCTTTTTCTACCATCAGCCACCGAGGCTGCTCACTGTTCTTGTTACGTCTCTGCACCGTCCTTGCTTGCCCTTCCCCTCTTTCCAGCCATCCTTTCCCACCTTTAGCTCGCACTGGCCATTTGGTCCATCCCGTACATTTAAATACGGTTAGCAAGGATGCCCTTTGCCTCTTTCATCCATAGGGATGAGAGTGTGGCCCAGCAAGTTATCCAAGAGATGCTGCCGATGCAAGACATTCACGACGTTCTCAACGATTTGCATTCGTCACAGAGCAGCAACGAACAGGAAATGAGAATGCACATCCTTCAGCTCAGGACGATGATGAAGAGTCTCATAAACATGGCAGAAGTGGCATGCCATGAAGTTGAGAGGCGTTGCCAAGCTCTGCATGATCTGCGGAGTTCAACCTCAGCAGATTCAATAACAAACAAAAGTTTTCAGAACAAGGATGAAGGCGAACGACATGTTTACGACCCTGAAGTTTCAGAATTATTTCCCAACTTCATCTCCTTCAACTCAGATTCAAGTCCTATACCCTACCTGCAAACTATTCAGAGTCTCGTTCGATCCAACCAGCTCGGAGAACACTGGGACCTTCTGCAGGACAATGTGAAGCGAAGAGGATTCAATACGACTATAGGAATTCGCCTTGCAATGAACTCGAATGCGGCCGATCTCAGGCCTCTTCAAGTGCAGCTAGTAATTCCAGGTAGCCCCGCTCATGTCTGTGGTATGCTAGATCGAGGAGATGAGATTGTCGCTGTGGACGGCGAAAGTGCATCGGAGGCGACGATCGTGAGCCAAGTGAGTGGAACTGACGTGGTTGGCTCGAGAGTGACGCTCACTATCAAGAAGAAGGGATCTGACCGAACGTTTGACATCCCTCTGGTCAGGGTTTCATGGAGTGTCGTTGAAGCGAAGGAAAAGATTTTTATACTGATGGAGCAATTGATGAAGCAGATCAGTCAAGATGGGTCCAAGAGGATCTCTCAGGAATATCTTTCCCTCTTGTACACAGAAATGAAAGAGTACGAGAAATTCCGTGCTATCAACGAGATGCACGTCCAGGATCGCTTGTACGAGCTAAGGTCTTCTATTCTGCAGCTGGCTCAAGAAGCGTTGGAGCATTCTGAAACAATAATTCGAGTATATAATCGGGCTTTGATGCTTTTAGGTAAGAACAAGCAAGAAGTCTTCAGAGACCGTGAAACATATCTGAAGGCTCAAGTCAGAGAGCGCGAGAATAGGTTGGGTACAATGAATATGGAGAACGAAGCTTTGAAGCAAAGATTACAGAAATCTGATAAGCTGCTGCTGGGTATGGAGAAAATGTGTCAAATTGCTTTTCGAAAGAAAGGAGCAATGGAGAATTCATGAACTGTGACTACACGACGCACGTTGGGCAAAAAAAATCCGATTAGTTGATCATTTATTGGCTCCATGACAAGACATCATGTCATCTCTTTCTGTACAAATTGATGAATACTGACGAGTTGATAAAGTCACTGTTCAAATTGGCAGGAGTTATCTTGCTAATCTGTTGGAACTTCTTCTTAAGCCAGAAGAAAAATTTCTCTTCGTCTAAGCCTCTTTTGAAACAAAGCGAGTTACGAACGTTTAAAATGAATGTGCAATGATCAACCTGGGCTTGTATGCGAGAATCAGAGTACCCTCCGGTGAGAGGAGTTTGTCTATCGTTTCGATAAGCGGTTTGAATAATCCCTTATTGTAAACAACTGCCAACAAATAATCACATCACCCGAACAGTGGAAGATAGACAAAACGATTTTACCGTCGGACCCAACGACAAGATCAAAAGATGACGCTTCAAACGATTCTATATCATTTGTTCCCCATCCTAATTGTTTGACGTCTACACACTGGGAGGAGTTGTCTCCTCGCACATTGTGGTCAACATTCACACGTGCCAACTTTAGTACACGCTCATCATAATCTGTTGCTGTCACTTTTCTCGCTCCAAATCTTGCGCAGACGACTGAAACAAGTGCATGTCCTGCTCCTAATTCTAGCACGTGCTTTCCTCTCACAAGCTCAGGATTCTTTGCAAGGTACTCAGATAGCAGAATAGCGGCATCCCATACAGCTGCTCCCGTCCATTTCAAGCCCGTAGGTTCCGGCTCATCATCTGCACGCTCGTCCCAGCTTTGCCGTATCATAAAGCTTTCACCATCGATAAGAACAGGACGAACTTTCAATCTGAAATTGTCTGCATATGGATTCGTATTCGAGAACGGAACCAAAGAAGTGCTTAATGCGATGGCATTTGGATTTGGATCTTGCATTGCAAAGTACAAGACTAAAAATTGAATCGAATGTTTGAAACAGATACTAGTCATGGGCTGCAGATTTCATATTCCAGGCTTCAGAGCCAGCAACATCTGCAGTTACCTCGCCATCGCCATCCCTACCTGCGCCACACTGGCGGCCATCCCCGATTTTCCATTGACCGATTTTTTAAACTTTGAACTTTCACAGCATGGAGAAACCTAAGTTGAGCTCAAAGTTAGTTGAAAAGTTGAGCTATCATACGGTACGATCTAGGCGGCCCCGCGTCCTACTACGTAGTACCGGTCGGATTCAACGTACTACACATTTTTTTTTCTATCAGGTTTATATGCCGGGCCGCCCGCGGCGCCCGGCCGGCGCCGGCCCGGTGACTCCCGGGCCGCCGCGGCACTGCGGCCGCATGCCCGGTGAGGTGCCAGTGCAACCGGAAGAGGCCAGTAACTTTCAATGACAAACCGTTGAACAGCCGCAATAATTGCCGCAGTTGAACCTTGCCGCCTGATGACAGTGAGCGGCGGTCATGGCATGATGGGATGTTTGATCGAAGCATTTTTGAAAACTTTCCAAGTTCCGAGTCCGGCGGTTTATTCACTTGCCAGTGACTCTTATCATGGCATGATGGCACTAAAAACGGGGGAGTTGACCGTTGGTATCCACCCGGGGGCCTCCCCCGGCCTGAGAAACGAATTACTATCACAAATATCGGATGATCGTCGGATTTGTTAAGAAACGACTTCCACAAAAGCCTCCTGAATGTCGAGTCGGGCACTCCGATCAGATCGGACCGTTCCGAGCTCCGCTGAGCGGCGCCCGGCCGGCCAACCCGTTGGCCAGTGAGCGCGCCGGGCCCGGCCACTGCCACCGGAATATCATGATCGGACCACTTTCAATCCGACGGTCACCGGGTTCAACTTGACGTATTCAAGTATTTAAGTTATTCCCGGCGGATGATCATGCGGCAGATGCCCCCGGCGTTCAGGTTCGAAGTTCAACGGTTTCAGGGCCCTTCAATTTTCCGACGGCGATTCCCGGAAGTTCCACCGCGGGGGGGCCCGGCCGCCGCCCGGCCCGGGCGCGCCCGGCGGACTCGGAGGCTCGCCGGAGTCCGGCGTGACGGGTCAGGCCGTAGTACCGTTCTACCGCCCGGGCGTACGGACGGCAGGGTGACCGTTACGGGGACGGCTCCGATGGTCTGTGACCCGGTACCCGATGACAGTACGGTCGTTAGTCTGGTACCGTACTGGAATGGATAGTACTGACGGTACTGCCGCCAAGAGTTACGCACAAGCGTGATGTTACCGTACCAGGGCTGGTACAAACAGGGGCCAATATGATACCGGCCTAGTAGTACGGCACTGCCGTACCGCGGGCGGCTGAGCTCTCAGTGACGGAGAGGGGCCCCTACAAACAGACTTGGCAGTCGCATTATTATTTTAACTACTACTGAGTCAGTTATTGCCGCTGCCGCTCTCAACGGCTCAGTAAGACAGTCCGTCAGTTACCGTACTGACTGAGACTGCGGCCGGGGGGTCCTTTGAGGTCACTAGGGCCCACACGGTAGGTCTGACGCCGCCGGGTGACCCCTACCTACTCCTACAGGCTACCAGTAGAGAGTACGATGCGTCGCAGGATCTTTCAGTAGTACTACCCACCTGACCGTAGTAGTACTACTGAGTTGTACCCCCAAATCCCTCCCCGCCTGGGAAGTCCTAAATCTAGTGCGGCCCTTCCCTTGACCCCTCCCAAACCCCTGGGCCCACCCCCTTCCCCAACCCACCCCATCCATTACACCCCAAAGAAAAATAAAAATCCGCGGCAGCACAAGAGGATCAGGTTTGCTGCGAGGGACTTTGGCCCAAGGAAAGCTGCTGCACGAGTAGTACAGTCAGTGCAGGCAGAACTTGACGAACAGCAGCAACACTGTGACACATTCAACTTGCTCTCAACAACTGCCTCGAGTCATTATGCAACGATACCTACAAAAGGGAGGGGCGGCAGGGAAGGTGTACGTGGCGTCCCCTGCAGATTCTTCACTTCAATCTCTACTTCATGAATCCTTCAAGATCATGGAGCTTCGCTTTGCAAACTATGACCACGATGGAGTTGGAACTTTGATGTTCCGTGAGCTTCAGCGCGAGCTTTCGCTTGTCGGGTTTACTGACATGGAAAAGCTGGAAGATGCTTTCCAAAAGATCGATTTTGATGGAAACGGAACGCTGGACTTCTCTGAATTCATATGCTTGTTGTATTATTGGGTAAATGTTGGAGATTATTCACAATTCTTTCGACATACGGAAAATGCGAAAATTGTGCATCAAGCATTCAATCTGATGGAAACTTCCATGATTCGATATGACGCGGATCGCAACAGGCGTCTTTCAAAGAAGGAATTGGATGCCTTTTTCACGGATCAGCTTCCTAAGACAGTGCCCTTCTATCAAAAGGTCTTCAACGAATCGGATCTCATTCAGCCTCCCCAGGTTGGTTGTGAAATGTGAAGACATAATACATCTAACCAATATTTTTCCACAGGGCGAGTCCGAGATCAAGTTTCCAGCATTTATGTACTTGATTTATGAAGTTCTTTGCGAAATGCCTGGTTCAAGTATATCAGGGAAATTCCGTGGGATTTCATTCAAACCTGCGAAGGCAACGCCAGGATCAGCAGCTGTTGGAGAAAATAGCGAATTTTGGAAAGAACTGAACAGTGCATTCAGCGTCCTCGAAGCAGATTTTGTTCGATTTGATCAGGATCGAAATGGTTTTGTCGATTACACAGAGATCACAAATGCAATTCCACCGACGAGGCCAGGGTATGACAGGCTTGACACCTTAAGTCGACTTCAACATGCATTTCATCAAGTTGATTTGAATCAGGATCAAACGCTTGATTTCTATGAGTTCTGTTACCTTTGTTTTATGATGACACAGAATGGTTCATACTTGGATTTGGTTCATCAGACAGAAGGGGCAGCCAAAGTCAAGAAAGCTTTCATCAACATCCACACCTGCTATCGCTCGTTTGATGCCGATCATAACAACAGATTAACCTATGACGAACTGGAAATGTTTTGCAATTCCCAATTCGGCATTGTGCCCCCAAACCTACAGAGTCTTTTTGGTGAAATCGCACAAAAAAGTGCCTCAGCAGGCGGGCAGGTTGCATTAGATTTGGTCCGCTTCATGAAGTTGTTGTATGTTCTGGTGTGCCCAACAGCGCAGTTCGCTCCCACTCGTTATTCTCCAGGCAAAAGAACTGTGAATCAACAAGTGATTTCAATCTTGAAACCGCCAAAGTCTGATAGACCTCCGAGGTTCAAGGTTGTGGTCCCCTCCAAATTTGTAAAAGAGAAATTGCTGGGACAAGGTGGTCAGGGAACAGTTTACAAAGGCAAATATGAAGGATTTAGTGTTGCCGCCAAAACGATGCTTGGCAATCCAGATGCACACCTGCTTGCTGACACTTTGAGGGAAGTCGATTTCTTTTTAAAGCTTGACCATCCTAATTGCCATTTTCTCCTTGGCGCCAAAACTACTCTGGAGAATGGTGGCATAATGCTTTTGACGGAGATTTGTGAAAGTGGATCGCTTTTTGATTGTTACTCGACGAAAAGGCTTCGATTTGATCGTTGTACAGCCTGGCGGATCAGCAAGGAATGTGCCCTGGGATTCAAGGTCATTCACGATATGGGCTTCATGCATCGAGACATCAAATCCTTGTAAGTACTGCCTTCCTCTGATAAACGCGTTTGACCTTTCATCGGCAGGAATGTGTTTATGACCAAGGATATGGTTGCCAAGGTCGCAGATTTTGGTATGTGTACCAATAATCCCACCGCAACAGACCCCATGGGTACACCACAATGGATGGCGCCAGAAGTGATATCGAACATGCTTGGAATCAGATGTCCATACAACAAAAGCTGTGACATATACAGCTATGGGATACTTGTTTGGGAGACCTTCGTAGCAATGATTCCGTATGCCAGCACAGGACTTAATCAATCGCAAATCGCCATGCAAGTTTATCGAAGCAACATCCGGCCACCGATGATCAGCAGCCTCCCTGCATCCATCAAGTCTCTCATTGCAGAGTGCTGGGATAAAAACCCTCATCATCGACCAAATTTCGATACGGTATGTCTTTTGTTTCAGTTTGAGTTCCCTTGACTGGTTTGATAGATTCTGCAAAAGCTGCAAGCAGCTGCTCATGAATGCAATGCGAGTTAAGGGGCTGAAAAATTTCGTCGAGAAAACAAACATCGAAGCCCCAAATAATCATTTCTGTTTGCGACGGGCATGTGACCCTACCTAGACTCGGCTAGCGTTCTTAGAGCACGTAGATGCAATGTTGATTTCATCTACTGCATCCTACTGCATCCTACTGCATCCTACTGCTATTATGACTATAACTGTTACTATTACTGCATAAAAGGTTTCGTGTTGCATGAATAATTCAAATAAAAGCTCACAACTCATACTTTCTTCTAAGCATGTGATTCACATGGACGAATGCACATAACACCGATTCCTGTTCATTGTGAGGTTCCACAGACAAAAATCAAGATTAAAATTCACCTCTTCGAAAAGGTTGTTGATGTCTGACATTCTGTTCTAGGTGAAGGTGTTTGCGATGGTGATTCCCTCCATCACCTCCAAGAATTTCCTGCAACAATTTAATCATCGAAAAACTGGATTAAACAAAATTTTGATCACCTGTGCTCGTTGTCGTATGCATGCCATATCCATGTAATGTAGAGGTTGCGTCGCTTTACAACGAGCTGTGGAAATACATGCTCTGTGGCAAAAGTGCACAGTCAGCGCATTGTAACCGCCTAACTTAGACAACGTAGACTGTGAAAGTAAAAATGATTGATATGCTGGTGGTTCGAATACTGTCGCCTGTATGCGAGCCTGCAAAAATGTTTGAGACAAGGGCGGACAAAAAAATGCTGATTAAAAGCCTACCACTGGAGCAACACGGTTTGCTCTATCTACAGATCTCATATTTTTATGAAAATACAAGACTTTGGCAGGCCTGCGCATGTGATTCGTTAGAACATTTGGAATAACACAAAGCTCTAACCGTTTGGGATGGTATAAATGTGATGGCATAGTCTCCATTGTCTGTTGGATACTCATGAGAATACTGAAACTTATTCACAAGCTAACCGATCGGTGTGTATTCGCTCTCAACGCACTGAGTTGGGTGCAAATCACATATACACAGGAACTATAGAACAAAGATAAAAAAGGCATTACCTTTGTGTCCCCATGTTTGATGCATGCTCCTTGTATCGTCTTTCCTGCCACTCAAGCTTTACAACCTCGACTTGTTGGAGAAGGCAGGAAATTTTCACAAACCGTCTGGATGGTTTTAGGTTCAAAAGGAGATTTTAGATTGAGATTTAGCTTTGATATCAGAGGTAAAATCGTATGAAGCGCTGAAGACGAGTCTTGGCCGATATTTTGCACATTGCTTGGAGTGAAATTAGGAAATGAATTTCTAGAAAAACGCTGAACCTTTCGTCCACTGAGTCATCGGTGGTGGAAGGAGAGGAGAGCTCGTCATCAAACCTATCATATCTGCTCATTCTCTCTTCCGCCAGTCCGCTCTGACAAGGTCGGTGAACTTCATCCATTTCCAGCCCTCCTACAAACAGACGCGGCATTCTGCTCCTTGCTAACGCATTACGCTGTTGGGGGGTGGGGTGGGAATAAGGTAAAAATGGGGTGGTTTCATCAGAGGTGCGCACTGGGAAAAGCGGGGTAGGAAAAAGGGTGAGGGGTGGGTGGGTCATCACGGTGCGAGGACATGCTGCGATCAGCCGTGGCCGCCATGTCGCGCGTCTGCGCTCGCCGTGGGGGATCCTATCCCTCGCTCTCGCGTGCTCAATATCTTACCCATGCTATCTCCTCCAAAAGCTATGCTGCTCTTCTGCTCCCCCTGCCGGGCTGCAGAACATTGTCTCGAGGACTCGCCACAGGTCCTGGTAACGACAAGCCGACGAGTGATGAGAGGAAGTCTGCGTCTCAGAATGAACCTCTGCCGAAGATGTCACAGATGAGGAAGACAGTCGTTGCGAAGGGTTCCGACAGATTGTCCAAAAAAAGACCGCAATATGATCCGGTAAGACTTGATGCGCATATAGTTTTGTGGCTTACACCAGGGTGGTGCAGGAAATCCTCAAAGCCCTGGAAATAGATCACATTCCTGCCCACATGATAGAAGAAACTCTACAAGGAGAATGCATGTCGCTAGAGGATCTCAAGTCTCTTGTTGATGCCGGCTTTCATCAAGGTCTTAGTGATCCGCAGCCTGATCCACAGCCAACATCGCAGTCAACCGAAGAATGGAGTGAAGATCTTGTTCAACAGCTGAATCCAAAGCGCATGTTCTATCCAGGACAGAGATACAGCCCAGAGGATCTCTCTCCTCACACTCGCGTCGACTACAGCAAGATTCGAGAGGAAAAGAAGCAAAAAGGTTGTCCTCTTGGAGGAAAAAAAGGACCAAAGATTGATTTCACCAACGTCGCCCTGCTCTCAAGGTTTGTCCATATTCTTTGCATTCTTTTTGGTTTTGATAGAGTTTACTCTTCTATACAGATTCCTCACTGATGGTGGCAAGATCATGCCGCGCAGGAAGACGTTCGTATGCGCAAAGAAGCAGCGAGAACTAGCTCGTTGCGTGAAGCGCGCTCGACAGATGAATCTTATCCCATACATGGGTAAGCTACCTCAGTTTAGGAGACCTGATTTTTTTGCGGAAAATGCTTGAATGAGGAACCCGGAATCAAATCTTGGTACATTTCTCTCAAGGAAATGATAACCAAGGTCAAATAGCTTCTTTGCAGAATAAATATGCATGACCTCTCTACTGTTGTTAAGCACCAGGGGAAAACCAGCAAGCTCGGATACAAAATGGGAGGAAAGCTCTCTGAAAGATTATCCCGAAAGTATCATTATCATCAAAAATTGAACATTTCTACTCTACGACATTTTCCCTGATGTGTACAATCCTTTTTCGAAAATGCTCATCTGCTATCAACCATTATGCGCCAAAACAGATTCATGGTATGTGACTCACATGACAGAAAAAAACTTGAGCACCAAACTATCTTTCTCCAGAAAACTGGAACAAACCCTTTGTACAAGGCACCGACCCCTTCGTTCTTGAATATGGAAGTGAAAGCATGGAACATCCCGCGATACTGAGATATTCAAGTGAGAAGGGTAAGATGAAGAATAGGAATGAGATGCCAAGAATGATGGAAAGAGACGAGAAGAAGTTGGATAAGGCAAGGGGAGGGGATAGGAATGGGATAGAACATAGAGGCTGTGTTGACTGACCTCATGTTGTTGTCCCGCTTGATTCATCAGCCTCGTTTTGACGACATCTGCAGGTGTAGATGTGCTTGCCGATGCCAGTCCAGCAATCGCACTGGCCGACAAATGAGCTAGAGGGCCGTCTGTAAACACTCCCTGCGATATTAGCATGTGCTTCGCTTGATCGTATGTTCCCAACTCAGCTGCACACACCAGGAAGGTCCGTGTAACGTTGGGTCGAATGCCCGCCCAGAACCCAACTATTCCCTCCTGCGACCAAACATCCACCACAAGTTTCCTCACGCTCGTTGATGACGTATTCCCTTGCATCTTTGTTTTGATCACCTCAGCAGGATTCATCACGGTGATTCCTATCGCTCCTGCCGTCCCTCCAGCAATAAGTCGATTCATGAACCCAGCGTCGGGCCCTTTTCCACTCATGGCGTCGCGTATTGGCTCGTAGAGGACGAAGCTAAGTCCCGTGTAGCATATCTGCCGGACCAATGCAGGACCCAACCCCTTGAAGAGAGCTGTCGCTCCTTCCTCCTTGTAGATCAAAATCATGCAGTCCATCATGCCTTTGTACTGGCGAATATTTCTTGCTCCGGATTTCTGTAGCTGAAGACGAACTTTGGCGGTATCAATGGGAAGGGTGACGGTTTCAGCTATAGTAGCTCCACCCGTGCTTGCTATCAGCCTTTCACCCGATGGGCTTAGAAGCGACGCCTGCCATGATCGCCGCCGCCGGTCCTCACCTAACACCATGCCGTCAAATCGATTCCTCAGGTTCGAGCCGGTTCCTTATATATTCTCTCCGGTTCCTTGGATTGGTTCCTTATATTGAGGAAAAGTTCCTTAGCTGCCTACGCCTGCGCAATGGCGGATCCCTTCGACCCTTTTGGACCGACGGCGACGAGCGGAAGCTCCTCGTCGGCGCTTCCGCCTGCAGATCCCTTCTCGAGCTCCTCGTTTTCGCAGCCGACGGTAAGTTTGAGCATGATGGTGATAATGAGTGCGAGAGCATGGTGGTGACACGTAGACCCAACTGTTTGTATGCGGAGGAGAGGTTTTCTACTTGCTTATGCCTGACTCGTCCATTCTAGAGCGACCCTTTCGGTGGAGGGTTTGACATGAAAGCTTCTGCTTCTTTCTCCAGCGATCCCTTTGGTTTCGGCAGTGCAGCACCAGCAGGCATGGATCCTTTCGCATCTGCCCCCATGGCAGGAGGAGGGGGTGGTGGCGGTGGCAGCGGCGGCTTTGACCCTTTTGCCGGACAAGCATCTTCATCATCTGATCCATTTGGCATGGAATTTGGTGGAAGTACACTCACCTCTGCAACACCCGCTCTGGCATCACAAAGTCTACAAGGCCTGGACGCCTTTGGCGCTGTGCCTGCCCTCTCGAATACGCAGGTGAGGACCTTTTCATTCGCTTGCACCCTCCTAAACCCTAAACCCTCCGTCTTTGCTCGGTTGACTTACATTGTCTCCCATCAGAATGTTGCGATGGATTTTGGCGGCAACAGCAGCGATCCATTCATGTCGATCTCAAGTAGCTCTTCAAACCAGGTTGCAGCCCCCACCACTGCGTTTTCAGATCCTTTCCTTGAGGCATTTGGTGATGCTCCAGCTACTCAAACGACCGCGTCTGCCGCTCCCACCTTGTCCAGCATTGCTTCTTCCTCCTTCGATCCCAATCCTGCTCCTGCTGTTACAGCTCAGTCTTCGAGACCGCCAGCCAAGTCTCTTCCTGTGGCTCCAGCTCAAGTTGGCGACCATATCAACGCTGCTTCTGATCCTTTTGCTCCTCAACCACTGAAGCAAAATAAGGCTGCTGCTTTTGCTGTCCAAGATTTGTTTGCAGATCCAGCTCCTGCAGCAGCAGCACCCACGTCTACAGCTCCTGCTGCAGCGATTCCGAATGTGTCTATGGACGCAAAGACTGCAACGGAATCATCAGTACCAAAGCAACGCGCTCCTGTTCCTCCTGCACAGAAACCTGTACAGATCGATTTGTTCTCTGCTCTCGAATCGGAAACAACACCCAAGAAGCCGGTCTCTACTCAGCGAGCTCAAGGGCATGGAAAGACAACGCAGAGCAAGCCTATGTCTTCTGACATGCTTCTGTCGGGTGGAGGAGGGCCTCTTGCGGGGCAGGGCGGTGTTGTCCTTGAGGTCGTGAAGGGGAATATGCGCGGAAGCGCAATGTGGAGGAGGTGAGAAACAACCCGGCGGGGAATCCGACCTCTGCTGTCTGACTTCTTCGTGCTGGCAGATTGGAGAAGTTGAAGAGCATTCCTCCCTCTGCAGGATTGAACATTCTCAAGCACGGAAACGATGCACCCGGTGTCCTCCGTCAGTTTTGTGGAAACAATCTCACATGAACCGCAGGTCTGGAAGCACAAGCACGTGAAAATCCGACACAAAATATCAAGACAGGGTGAGAAATCTGTTTTGCAAGCGTACCAGCTGCTCTCTGCAGCTTCTCTTACCAACTTTGCTATCTCTTCAGGTCCGGGAAGGAACCAGATGCAGGTGCGGAGCGGGTGACGAAGGCAATCCGAGCAGCCGACGAAAGGATCTTCGAGCCCTTATTTGCTTGCCGATCGCTCCAAGACAAGCGAGTGGCTCTTGACGCTGCGATTCGTCTGACCAACAGGTTGACATCGGATCCTGTCATTGGGACGCATAGTGACGTTTGCTGCTCTAGGGAGATCATTTTGCACATCGTTCTTTGGGTGAGAGAAACATTGAAGCACGATCTTTTCATGGAAGAACTTTCTCTCCGACCTAAGGTGAAATTCATTCCTGTCTTTCCCTTGTCTGATTTCTACCAGGCCGTGCTTGTATACGCCAATTATTTGCGTGACGCCAAGAGGTGACAAGCAGGATGACGTGTGGTCCCTGACGATAAGCAGGTGGGAGCAGCTGGAGACCTTTTGGCTCGCTATCAGGAACATCGAGGTTACGCGCTACCGTGATCGCCCGCAGCTTCACAGGAACGAGGCTTCGACGGAGCTTGCGCTATGCATGGTTCGACGAGCCTTGTGGGCCTCCACTCCCGACAGTCAAATAGCGGCTCTGAAAGAGGCACGTTGCTGTCTCGCCTTCAATGCTATCGCATAGTCCTCTCCCTCTGCCCCCCCCTCTCGGCAGCATTGGCTTCTCCCGTCGCTGTTATTTCTCCCGCAAGTCAAGTGACTGGCTCTCAGGTGGTCGATTTTGCCTCCACTATCCCCAAAGGCAGCATCTTGAGCGGCGGGTCGCATGAGACGGAAGTTGAGATGATCAGTCAGTATTGCGTTGAATGGCAAGAACTCATTCGCCGACAAGTGAGAGAAAACATTCACTCCTTCTCATTGCTTTGTACTGCTTTGCTGATAGAGTCACATATTCCTCTCATTTGCTTTCCATTCTCCGGGTCATTGTTATCTGCTTCTTGGAATATGTTTCCCCCTACAACATCACCATCTTTCTTCGCTGATACATGCACAAGGTGGAAATCGAAAAGATTGATTTACAGCTGGAAAGCAAGCAGACATCTCATGCTCAGGCTTCACTCACCCATCTAAATTTTGATTATGATAACACTTATTTCTACAGGAGACCAACCTGTCGAACCTCACGGAGGTCGTTCAGGTGAGAGTTTTGCTGATCCTTGGTGCTGTCTTCATTCTCTTTCAGATTCCTATTTGGATCAAGTTTCCTCGCAAGCCTGTCATTGGCATTCCTGTCCTTGAGCTATTGCAGTACCTTGCACTGTATCACCCTAACGACAGGTTGACAAATTAGCTTTTTCTTACTTGATGTCATCTTCATCATCACCACCATCACCATCACCACCACCACCACCATCACCACCTGTCCTTTTGAACACCATGTTAGGGAAGAGAATGTTACATCACCGAAGGGACTCAAGAAGGGCATCAACGTCTCCGAGAAGATGTTTTGGTTTGCAGCCTTCACTTCGCTTGCGAGGTCAGTCCTATGCACTTGATCTCCTTTTCGCTACCTTTCTTGTTTTCACAATCTCTGTTGGCTGCCCTTCCCGTGCTCTAAGTCTGGTGCACAGAGCCGGCATCTGGGATGTTGTTCGCAAGGCAACAGAGTCCAAGTCGATGTTTTCGGGTGCGACGAGGTTTGAACTCGCTGGTCCGCTGACTCCACCCAAGGAAAGACGTCAGAAAAGTCGCCCATCGGGTGGAGGCCTCTCTTCAACCTCGTGAGCTCCTCATGCTTCTGCGCTGCTGGGACGTCCTCTGACCTGTCGCTCTAGGCCTACGAGTATGGAGATCCCTCGAAGGATGCTGACATAAGAAAGCTTGCAATCTACTTCGCTGCACACATGGAGGATAGAGATGAAGCGTAAGAAGAAACCGTGTTCTCTTCCTTTTGGCTTCCTCCTCACTTCCTTTCAGATACACTTTATGCGTCCAGAAAGGATTGTGGGAGGGCGCCATCCAGGTTCAATCAGCATTGTTCCTTGCTTGCTGTGCTTACCCTGTCGTCTGCTGCATTCCTTCGCGTCCTCCGTCGGCTCGTCTGACCACGTGACAGGCATGTGTGGACATGAGGGACGAGGACAAGTTGATTGAGCTCCGCGTTGCCATCACAGAGAGCGGTGAGATCGATACTGCAGCAGTAGAGACGCGGGAGTGAGAGAGGAGCAGGTGGCGAGGTCAGGAGCTTCATTCAGATGATCGATGAAGTCTATGCCGACAAGAGGATCAAGTGGAAGACTGACCTCACGGGGGTCACGGTTCTCCTGCTGTCACGGTCCCTGACGTGTCGCTGACGTGCTACTCCTCTTTCAGCCGACGCTCATGGGATCAAAACGCCTCGCGTCAGTTGGAGGCATCTTCAAGTCTGCCTTCTCCAAGGCTCCCCATCACCCTCCTGGTGCTCTACTGACTTGAAAGCAGGTCACCAGCAGTGTTACCGAAGTCCATTCCAAGACCAAGGAGGCGTCGGCTCCATCTACTCCCGTGATTGCAGGCGGTATGTTCGATGGCACACTCAAGCATGTGTAGGTTGTGCAGGAGCAGCCGAAACGGAACATGGTGTTTGGAGGAGGTCATGCGCGTCTGTGAATGCGGGATGGAAATGACAGTCATGCAGGAGCTGGAGGCCTGGTGGAGGATGACTGAATAAAGGCTGGAGGAGCACAACAATGCTGTAGCTGCTTGATGAACAATCCAATCCGTCTCTTGCCTAAATATAACCCTCCTGCTCTACCGCTCTGCGTCTCCTTTACTCAACTCCGCTGATACATCCGAAGGGCTTGCAACCTCCGAGCGTCTTGTCCACCGCGTGATCCACAACCTTCTTGGCCAGCTGGGGATGGTCGTCCCAGGTAAGGTAACCGGCGTAGGTGCCTGACCCCTGCCACCATCCTTCAGCCACATACTCCTCATAACTCCTCATACAGCAGTCCACCCCAAACCACAAAGTGCACAGAACAAAAAGCTCAGAAACAAAGCAAAGGCCACTTCCAACGACAGGAGTGCACAGAACAAAAAGCTCGCTGGAAATTGCAACTTACACTCTTTCCATTGGTTACTAGGTATCCCGAATCAGAATGCATCTTGACCTTTCGTCAGTTCGAGTCGGAAACAAGTTTCTTGTGATACCTGGGTAGCATAAATGCTTGCAAAGTGATCGTTGCCGTAGTAACCCTTGGTAGAGTTCAAAAGCTCGAACATCCTGAAGACAGAAGCCATGAGCAAACAATGTGACAACAAACGTTGAGACCGAGTATCATTATCCAAACCTATACTATCTCAAAGAGCAACAAGATACGACCCGACCGCCTCAATATCCTCCTCACATATGATTTTCTATAACAATTCCAATCTCCCATGTCTTCGAATGCTCAAACATACTTCTCTTCCATCCACTGCCCCTCCTATCTCTCTCCATTTCTTGGCGTTGACGTTGTTTGTTCCCCTAGATACTCATTTCTTTCTTGGCTGCTCTTGCATGAATATTCATCGACTGCCTCCACTTCTTCTTCTCACTCTTTCATCGCACTTGCTCGGTCTTCTCTTCTGATCTCCTGTCCTCTGCCATTCAATCATCATCTGTTGCCATGAGGTTTTTCTGCTCTATTTTGGGTGTCATGGCGAGTGGGCCTGAGCGGGGATGAGTCACGAGAGGTTGGTGAGGCGGGTGGACGGCAAGCAATGCTTCCGGTCGGGGCAGTCGTTGCCTTCTCGGCCATGGTCCTCAAGGCGAAGAGCGCGTGGGTAGTGGGAGCAAGTGACATGAGCAAGAAGAAAGTCAGAGTGAGTGTACTCCCTCTCCTCCTTCCTCCGCTTCTCGCTCCCTCTCTTTTTATCCCTCTCCCTCCCTCCTTCCGTGTTTCTTCTACACACCTCTCATTCTTCCCTATCCTATCAGAAGGACCCTTGGGCCTTGCCCGTGGATCTGACGACTGAAGAAGAGAAGCGAAAGGCTGCACAGCGAGTGCTTGAGGCTGCGGAGTCATCATCACATGATCAGCAACTTCATGCTCGCAAGGATCAGCAACTTCATGCTCGCAAGGTTGTCGTGAAATCGAAGCTCCCTCATCGGTCGTTGGCCAATGATCAAGTCAACGCGCCACATGTCAGCTTGCATCAGACTCGATCGCCCTTTGTTTTTCCTATTGACACCTCCAACATCGCCAAATTCATGGCAGAAAGCAAAACTCCGTTCAATGCATTCTTGATCACAGAAAACAAGGAGACGCCAGAATGGTATAAGATTTTTGCATCTGAGAATGATGGTGTTTGCACTTTTGGGGAGATACGATGTACAGATGACCAGCTGATGAAGAGCTTTGCTATCTCCATTACAGATCCTCTTCCCGTGATCATCGTTATGACTGGATATGCTGAGGCGATCAAGGCATGGCGCTTGTACAGTTTTTCGCTTTTCATGTACAAGCCGAACGAGGGAATGGAATCATTTTTTGCCTACAAGTCTGCGGCGCTGACCCCCGAGAGCCTCATGAGCTGCCTTGACAAGGCCATTCGCGTTGACACGAAGCTGAGGGACGGGCAGTCAGCCATGCTGTCTACGCGATCTGAGCAAGACAAGGGCGGGAAATGGTATTGAACCTCTGCAAGGAGGAATCGAGGAGCAGGCAGAGAAGCAGCAGAGACATGCGGAAGTTGCAGGAGAGTTTCTTTCGCTGCGGAAGTTGCAGGAGAGTTTCTTTCGCTGCGGAAGTTGCAGGAGAGTTTCTTTCGCTGCGGAAGTTGCAGGAGAGTTTCTTTCGCGGCGGAAGTTGCAGGAGAGTTTCTTTCGCTGCGGAGGTTGCAGGAGAGTTTCTTTCGCTGCGGAAGTTGCAGGAGAGTTTCTTTCGCGGCGGAAGTTGCAGGAGAGTTTCTTTCGCTGCGGAGGTTGCAGGAGAGTTTCTTTCGCTGCGGAGGTTGCAGGAGAGTTTCTTTCGCTGCGGAGGTTGCAGGAGAGTTTCTTTCGCGGCGGAAGTTGCAGGAGAGTTTCTTTCGCGGCGACAAACATCTGGAGATGCGGAACAAGACGTTTTCTCATGGGTACGGCCTCCAGTATGACTGTGACCCTCCCGTAAGTTCACAAAGACTCTCAATGTTTGTCAGTATTACCACATGAAGGATCCACCACGGTCTAGGCCCTCCACCCGTTTCCTGCTTGTTCAAGTATCAGACACGTGCAGTTATGCGTCATGTGCTATAGGACAGTGAAGTTTCTCACGCGGTCTGTGCTCTGCCAGGCTTCTTTGTGGTCTTGCTGCGCCTGCTCCTGCATGTCCATGCGATGTTCTTTGATGATACTGGACAAGGCCTTGCTGTGCGTCAGGAGCAGGAACAAGAGTCGTAGTAGCTGCTCACCTGGGAGATGCTCTCCTGCATGATGGAAGGGTGAAGGCACGGCTTGAAACGAGGCGAGCCGGAAGGAGGCTGTACATCTGAGCCTCTGTCCCTCTCGTCGTCTTCCGTAAGACCTCGAAGGACGGACTCGACCATCTGCTTCTGCATCAAGCTTTCTCGATACTCCCTCACGGCCTGCTCGTGTTCCCTAAGAGCTCTCACGTGCTCGCTTTGCTTGCGACGGAATTCAGAGTATAAAGTTTGCCACTTGACGTTAGGAAACTTGTTGATTCTTCCGAGGAGACTGGTCTGTCTTGGATCCATGGTAACGTGAATGGTGTTGTGCAAGGCGATGGCCTCATCAACAACAGGCTTCTTCATGATCACGCGCTGAGATCCGGCCAGTCGCACTTGCTTGTAGGGGGTCTTGGGCTCGGAGCTCAACAACTGAGACCTCGACCCGTCGGTAGAGGCTCCTCCAATCCCCAGAGAGTTGTTCAGCGTAGAGTTGGAATGATGCAAGTAGTAGTTGCTGATCCTCCAGACTTTTCCTTTCGACCGCAAGAAGATTACGGCTCGGTCCCATTGCCTGCCGGGTTATGTCAGACCCTTTCAGACGCAGAAGCAAATCGACCGAGAAAGAAGGGACATCCTTGCTTTTTGTCGCTTCAAATAGTTCATCCAACACCGCTGCAGCACCTTCACTTTGACGAGGTAGTTTGAGATAGTTTTCTTGACAGAGCTCATGCTCTGAAGTTCAGCTAGAAACATCTTCACGATCTTTATCTTTTTGTTCTTTCTGCTCAGAAGTTTCTCTTATTTCTAATCACGTTAAGTGCAAAGCCATCACCTTTTTATCCTCCAATGACTAATGAGCTTCTGGAACGCTGGCCTCAATCGCGAAACAAGCTTTCCAAACATTTCTGTTGCATTCATGACAGTCAGAGGGGAGGGAGACTTAAGAGAGCGAGGTCTGCACGCTGACCTAGTTGTCGATTTATTCCTTGCATCCGTCTTTTGTACCTGAACGTCCTCTGAATGGCAGCAGCAGAAGGATGGTAAGTCTAAACATGTAATGTCAATGTCCGCACATGCTTTCCAACAAGCAACAAGCTCGACCTGCTGTAACTCGTCGATCATACGTCCAAACTTGATACAGATCTGTGTGTGTACCAGGAGTGTAATCCACATGCGCACAGAAGTCTTGCTAGCCAGCAATAAGCTCGTTCGAGCGCGGAAGACATCGCCGTGCCTGGCGGCAGCATCGTAATGATGAGCCGATCTGTGACCAGTCTCCTTTCCACTTCCGGCAAGTTGCACTGCTGCCTCTTGTTGAATTTTAAGTAGCTTGGGTCTTCCCCTCAACTTGAAACTGCCATGCCCGTCTGGTTCGTATCTTCCCCAGAAGATCTTATCCCGTATTAGCTTCTTGAAGGCCTTTCTGCTGAATTCAAATTGTTGGATGTCAAATGGCGTATCGAAGTCTGGAAAATCTAATTCCTCGCTCTCAGCAGCCTTCTCTTTCACCTTCTTTGGGGATTTGGTAGCCCCTTGCTCATGATGAGCGTCAGATTGTTTGTCTCGAATGGGAGGTACAGCAGGCTGTTTCGCTCTGATTGGATACCTTTGATGGTTGGACAGATAGCTGTCAGGCTTGCTCTTTCCTCCTGACAAGGAGCATGACGGTAGCATGCCGCTAGCAGTAGCATGCATCCTCGGCGTCCTTGGTAAGCGAAGTTCTCCTAGACTTCTGGGTGTGCATAATGCCTCGTTGGAGTACTTGGATTCGCTCTTGAGATTACCATATTCTTTGACAGGTTCTTCACTGTCCTTGCAATTGGTATGTGCCGATGTATCATGAGAAGAAAAGTATGAGAGCTGAAGCGACTTCCGCCTGCTGCCATGCAAGGAACTTTCTGCCTGATTCGCCACCTTCACTTGTCGAGAACTTCGAGCAGTGAGCGCGTGCTTGCTTGTGGCCTTCTGGTCGGGAGGGCGTTGCTTGTAAACCGTCTGACCAAACATGTCTTTAGCGAAATGATGAACGGAATCATCATGAATTGATGCATTATAGTCGCGAATGCGGCTGCATTTCAGGGTTGCTAGTCTTTTGTGCGACAAGCGAGGGCTGGTGGCAACTGAATGTACGTAGGGAGCTTTGGGTGAGGAGACATGCGAGGAGACATGCGGCTTCGCTCGTCGCTGTTCCGCTGGTGAGAGCTGCCGGGGTCTCGGGGAGGATGAAACGCGAGGAGATTCAGCAGGTTGCGACTTGAGCACAGCAGATATTCGGATGATGGGCATGGGACGAACCCCCTCGTCGACTTCTGCCATGTCTGTCGGTCTGCCGCTCGTTCCAGCCTTTGATCCGAGAGTCTCCAGCACTCTGAGTCTCCACTGGTTGGGCACAAGGAAAAGACTTCAGGCCATTCCACTCCGAGGATCAGAAGGTGAAGATCATGCGAGATTAGTCCGGTTGTCTGCAACTGAAGGCAGGCAAGACGAAGTTCATTGAGGTGCAAAATTCAGGTTTTCATCCTATCCTCTCGCTCTCGCTCTCCTTCGATCTCCTCTTCTCTTCTCTCTCCCTCCTCCTTCCCTCTTCGCTTCTCTTCTCTCCCTCCTCTCTTTCCCCTCATTCTCAGGCCCTACCATGGTTAGTGGAGGAAGTGCGGGTTGGTCAAAATTCGAGCCTGCCTCAGCGGGCCAAGAAGAGGTCAACGAAATGGTCCTACCACAAACTTGCCTGCTCAGGCGCCAACAATGGCTGGGGGCAGGGGAGGCGGAAGGAGAGCAGTAGGAGGAGAGCAGTAGGAGGAGAGCAGCAGGAGGAGAGCTGTAGGAGGAGAGCTGTAGGAGGAGAGCAGAGGCAAAGGGTACAAAGCCAGAAATACATCTCCCTGTTTCTGTAGTCTCTACTACAACTGGCTGACTTTTATTCCTGCAAAATCAAGTTGAATTGTCTCTTCATACAAGCAGCTGGGCTATCTCTTCATATAGGAGACTGGTCTGTTCGACAGGGCTAATCTGAGGCATGTACACTGGCTGCACTGTTATGGTGGTTGAAGGTGGTGATATCTCCTTGGCGAGAAAGAAAATTTTTTATGACATATTGAAGAAGAATGGTGGGGTCACAGTCACCAATATTTCTAGCTCTTCAACTCACCCAACTCACATCGTTAGCTCTCTGCCTTATGACACCCTCGAGCGAAAAGTCGGTGTCGGTATGCTGCAGAAATGTCCCTTTGTGGTGACTCCGAGGTGGTTGGAAGTGTGCAACTCCATGAAGAAGCGAGTGTGTGAAGATGAGTATGCCATAGCTCGACAAGAGCAAGAGGAGAGCTCGAAGCTCGTGCGTGAGATTCAGAATGAACATCGCGAGCGAAGTGATGTCAAAGATAACGTCGTGCATAACACTCCCCCTGACGAACACCACAAGTGCAGTGTGACATCTGACCGCAAGAGATTTCGGGATCACGAGAGCGCTCGTCCGACATCAGAGGTTGGAGAAGACGCAAAGTTACCACGAAAAGAAGCAGGTGGTCTTGTCAGGGTCAAGTTGGTGACATGGAACGCTTGCGGGTTGAAGGGGCGGAGGGAGGAGATGGAGGTGGGCAACGACTACGAGACGACCGACGAGGAGGAAGCAAGTCAGTCTGTTGATCCTGCTAGCCTGACTCATCGCACGTGCTCGCGCTCTTTCTTTGAATTCTTCAGGAGTCTGCGAGAGCCCAACTGCGAGTACCTTATTGGGATTACGGAGACATGGCTGTACCTTCTTATGACCTTCTTGATTGCCGTTTGACATGTGTTCTTCAGATGCGATGACGACAAGAACAGCCGATCACATCAAGAACGTCAAGATCATGAGAGATGGTGGGAAAAGCAGGTGCAGAAAGTGTTTCCGAAACGTACATGGCATGTAAGTCAAATAATTTGACTTCTTTGCTTCATCACATTATTCCAGAGCATATGGAATCATAATCATCTGCACTCGCGCCATGGATGTGTTTTGTTTTCAACTATGAAGCCAATCGAGGTGGCGATTTATCCTTGCATCCTAAAGCAAAGGGTCATTTATCTTCATCATCGCCAACCAACACTTACACCGCCCTCTGTGTTGATGACACACCTTGCTTCAGGTTGAGTTTGGGCTTGACGGGTTGGAGCCCAAGAGGTGGTTGGAGCTGCGACATCGCTTTAGCTGCTCACGTCCCTTGCTGCAGGCAAAAGGGTCTTGAAACCCTCGCAGGCTTCAGTTCTTCTTTCTCGGATCCAGAAGGACGCCTGATCTCTGCTTCTTTCTCTCTCCTACACGCCTTCGTCTGCTATGTCCCTCATCCAGGTCAGGTCGACTCCTGTCCTCGCTCCATCCGCAACACCAACGGCCTCTGCAACCTTTCCTTCCGCCTTCTTCATTGGGACCGCCTGCTCCGAGAAAAGATCGCGCGCGCGAGCAAGCAGAGTCTTCCAGTGATTGTGCTTGGGGACCTCAACGTGCACCGAGGGGGGCGAGTGGAGGATGGAGCATGTGCAGCAACATGCGACAAGGAGCTGCAGAAGAGCCTTGAGCAAACTCTCGAGACCTGCGACCTCGTTGACGCGCATGATGCTTGTTGCTCGGAGGAAAGGGAGGGGAGCCGGAGGGAGGAGAGGCAGAGAGGATGTACGTTCTGGAGCAGGAAACATGCCTCATGGTGGGCCCGACTTGACTACATGCTCGCGTCCAATAGCTTGTTGGATGGAAGTCGAGGTCGATTGCTGTCATGCGAGGCTCTCAAAGAAACTTTCGGCAGCGATCACTCGCCGGTGAGAAAATGTTGGTAGGATGAATGGAAGCTCTACTCTTTACCCCCTGCACATTTCATTCCTGTCGGCTTGCTGCGGTGAATACATCTTGATCTTACTTGCTCCAGGTTGTTTGTACAGTGGAGATCAGGAGCGAAGAGGGACTCAGGGGAGCAAAGAGATAATTTCATGTTTATCATTGAGCTAGAAAGTACAAGTCATGTTACATGGATTGCTACGTTTTCTTTTTGATCTGACGAGAGGAGAGGAGCAAGGGGCCGATTGAGAGGAGGGGGAGGGTTTGACGGAATATGAGGGCAAGACACGAACGAGAGAAGAGGAACAGGCAAGGAGAGGATCGTCAGACATTCTCGGGGTTTTGCGGCTCGACATAGTCAGGACTTTCAACGGAAACGATCTGACCTGAAAGAGAGTCAGGCGGGAGGGGAGGGAGCAGCAAAAGGTAGAGGATGGTGGAGGGGGGAAAGAAAGAGACGCAAGAACAGAAAGGAGGGGGAGAGGAGGAGGATTCAGACTCACTGCAGCTGGAAGATGGCCCTACGGATGATGTGGGAGATTCAGGAACAAGCACCTTGCTCAGGTTGCCTCCCGCTTGTGCGCTGCCCTTGCTCGCCTCCGACTCGAGGTCAAACAGCTGCAGAATGTAAGGCGAGGTGAAGGAGAGGGAGGGGAGGAGGTGAAGGATGATAGAGATAAGGAGGAAAGTTGAGGCAGGAGGAGGGAGGAAGGAGAGACGGTAAACCTTAAAGCTCGCGCGGTGAAGCTCCTTCTCCGCCTCAAAGAATTTTCGCATTTTGATCGCAAGCTGATGTATGGCGTTGTCAGCAGGGTTGTAGAGCATGGCGTTGTCGAAGGTCAAGAGCACATCTGCATCCCACTGCGCAACCCAGTCAGAAGGGGAGCAAGAGAAAGACAGTAGAGAGAAACGAGAGAAAACAGTCAGAAGCAAGTAAGGAGGAGGAGGAGGAGGAGGAGGAGGAGGAGGAGGAGGAGGAGGAGGAGGATTTGACTGAAAAATGTCAAGGAGAAGAAGACACAAGAGAAGGCGGAGAAGGGCAGGGAATTTACCTCCTTGTATGTGTTATATGTATTGGATTGTAGCTTGTTTGAGACAGTCTGCATGGACAAGGTCAGGCTGCTTGCATGATGACGAGCAGGGGTGTCGAAGGAGATTCAAACAAGAGAAGGGGGAGGAGGTCAGGCAAGAGTGAAGAAGGAGATAGAGGAAAGGAATATCTTCCTGAAGGTCCATTGGGTTTTTGATGACTTCAAAATAGTCAGGAATATTCAGCTCCACGGGATCAACCTGAAGAATCAAACATCATCTCCATCATCACCTCCATCATCATCTCCATCATCATCATCATCACCTCCATCATCTCCATCTCCATATCATCATCTCCATCATCACCACCACCACCATCATCTCCATCTCCATATCATCATCATCTCCATCATCATCATCTCCATCATCATCATCTCCATCATCATCATCATCTCCATCATCATCTCCATATCATCATCATCATCATCATCATCATCTCCATATCATCATCATCTCCATATCATCATCATCATCATCATGATCATGATCATCATCATCTCCATCATCATCATCATCGTCATCGCCTCCTATCTGATCTTCCCATTCTCGATCTCCTCCATTGTCACATCAGTTCGCTAATCATCTTCTCTATTCTCTGCACACTGTTTCCTCACAGGATCCAAGAAAGGCCACGAGAACTTGTGCTTGAAGAGCTTCTTCATTATCTTGGTTGCTCGGTTCACCCAAGGCTGCTATGTGAGATGAGCGTACACATCGATACAATCTTCACGCTCTCCACACGTTCACCTGAATCTGCTTGATCGGCTTGCTGGGGCTCGCCTTCTGCTTGGGATGTCAGGCGCCGCTCACTCCGCAAGTCGCCTCCCACCTGCTGCCTCCCCGGCGTCCTCCCTCCCCCTTCGCCCTGAGCCTTCGCCTTCAGCTTCTGCTTTTCTGCCGCGAGAGCCTGAGCAGCGTCAGGTGGCAGTGAGGAAGAGGCAGGGAGGAGAAGGGGGGGGGGGGAGGCCGAGAGGAGGAGGCCGAGAGGAGGAGGCGAAGAGGAGGAGGCGAAGAGGAGGAGGCGAAGAGGAGGAGGCGAAGAGGAGGAGGCGAAGAGGAGGCAGGAGGGGGAAGCAAGCAAGCAGGAAAAGCGGCGCACCAGCTCGTACTCCTCTTTCTCATGCGGTTCCACGATGTCCCAAATCTGCGAGACGGTGTGAGATCAAAGTGAAGCTTCAAACAGGAAGAGGAGGAGGGGGAGGGGAAGGAGGACCAGACGAAGATGTTAATGGTGAAGGGAGTCAGAGGAGCGACTTCACCTCCTTGTCCGCGTTGTTGGTTTTCCCCACAGTATACGCGAGGACCTTACCATCATCCTTACACACAGCAGCAGCAGCAGCAGCACGTCTCTACCTGCTTGCATCTGCTGGCAGGGAGATCAAGCTCTCTCTCCTGTCCTTCGGGAACGAGCTGAGCATCATCACGTTCAGGTCCGTCGAGCTCCTTCCCCCATCCTCACAACCTTGTATCTTGGTCGACCACTGCGAAACGTTTCCCCGGAGAAGACTCCCTTGGGTTGCATGGGAACGAGATGACACCAGTCCCTGCGAGAAAATGAGAAGAGAAGAAGTGGAGAGGATGAGACAAGGAGAGGAGAGGAGAGGAGAGGAGAGGAGAGGAGAGGATGAGAGGAGAGGAACGGGGAGGGGAGGGGAGGTGAGAAACATGAAATTTAGCAAGGTCAGGGCTATCGTCTCGTCAGCAGGCATCTTCATGGTATGGCATTACATGTCAACGATGTAGTGCAAGACGTAGTAATACTTGATGTTGTACTTGTTGTTTGTGACCGTAACCACCTGCCACCAAATTCAATCCAAGTTTCTTTCACCAAAAATGATGAGATTCATCATCGGCATGTCAGATACAACACAACAGCATGAAGAGCAGCGTCGAAGAAATAAAGACAGTGTCTCTCAGGTTTAACAGTGGTACAGAACAAACATCAGAAGCAATGACACACCTTGTTGTACATGCTGTTCTTCAATAGAGCCTGATTGACAAGCCCAGGAACAATCTGCAGAAGCGTGCAGATTAGCAACAGAGGGTTGAGGGACAAGAGCTAAAAAAGGGTTTCAAAGCACCTAACAAGAGACTGATGGCAGTACGAGAGTGGTGGCAAGAAACGTGGAAAGGAGCATCGGAAGGAAATGAAAGGAGAACGAGGTAGGAAGGGAGAGGAAGTGAAGAGAGCGAGGGAGGAGGGGAGAGGAGTGTGGAGTACCTTCTCGTTCCTCTTTGTCTCCGGCAGGACGTCAGGCTCTCTCGTCACTTTCTTCGGTGGCATGTTGGCCTGCATCCTCGGCTTCAGAGTTTCCATCGCTCCTCCTGCCGGAGGAGATCTCCTGCTCCCACGCGCGTCAGCACCGAAACTCGCTCTGCTACTGTTAGCTTCACTTGATCAGCCGACGAGCCATCATGTACGAAGGGTACAAGTCTTCCACTGACTGTTCTGGGAACGTCCAGTGACAGTATCTTGAACAAACTCGGTCAATCTCTGTTGCTTCACTCTCACTGGTATCACCCGACATATCCGGCAGCTCTCCGCAACGCAACATTCTCCTCTGAGTGATCGTTCCAGTCCACATCATCGTCCTGGGACCTCGTCATCGAAGTCGGGGAGCAGAAATCGCAGTTCACCACAGATTTTGACGACTTGCAGCCATTCGTCACATTCCACAGCCTCTTGACCTCACTGTAACAAGGGACTGTCAGTCTCTTGTGTTTTGATTTGAAATCTCGGCTTTCATGAATCTCGGTGATCTCCTCACCTCATAGCAGAAAAACTTGAAACGCTGGAAGCTGTCGGTGACATAGCAGGTGAAATGTCTTCAGTCTTGATGATCTGAACAAGCATACGATTAGCCGGAAAGGAAAGGAGGCCGAACAACCTTCTGCAACGCTCTTTCAACCTCCTCCTTCTCGTTTACTATTTCCACAAAATCCGTCCTTCTCTTCCCCTTGCCGACCTTCCGCCACACAACTTGAACGGTGTGCAAATCCTTGAGAGGGATTTCTTCTGTGACCACCTGCAGTACGAGCAAGTGAGCAGAGAAAACAGCTCCTCCCTCCTCACCTTGTACGGGATGAAGCGAAGGGCGTCCTGCCCCCTCTCAATCGAGATCAAGTCGGGAGAAATAAGGTATTCCTGCAACTTCTCTTGTGCTCCATGATGACTCTTGACTTGGAACAGGCGGACTTTCCTGTCGCTTCTCGAGACCAGGATCTTGAAGGGGTGAAGGTTTCTCCCAGGAGACATGCCCTTCGCGCCGTAGCCCTGCACGTTCTTGCCCGGGCTGGCTTTCTGCGCGCTCTTACCCTTGGTGCTGCCGACGACGAACTTGACTCGCTTGTTCTTCATCCACGAGGGGAGAGTTCCATCGTCAAACTCTAGCCGCCGCTTGTTCGCAGCCTGTGACAGCTTGCTCGGTGCCGGGTTGTCATCATCGCTGTACTTCGCGACCGCACCGACTCGGATGAAGTCGAAAGACTCGTAGAAAGCAACTGAGTTGTCAGTCGCCTGCACGATGAGGTACTCGAACTTCCCTTCCTTCTCCAGCTCTTCGATCACCAGACGCACCAGCCACGACCCGCACCCGAGGCCTCCCAGCAGCGACAGCTCGGCCACGTGTGGCCAAATGATCCCTTCTCCGTCGGGGTCTCCGCTCCTGACCTGCTGGTCGAGCTCTTCAGCAAGCTTGTTGTCATGGTCCCAGTTCCTTCCCGTCATGTCTGACTCATGAATCCCAGCTTCTGGAGCAAGGGAGTGCCATCTGAACGCTCGTTGCCACACAGTGAAGGTCGTCATAGTGATGAATCCTTGCAGCCACCCCTCAGCTTCGGTTCTCACTTGGTACCCGTAGATCGGGTCGTCGGTGTCAAGCCTGTCTGCCATGTACTCCAACCCCAGCGGCTTCGTCTGAGTGCCGTCAGAGTTGTTCTTCTGGAACCCGAACCTTTGAATCCTCCGACTCGCTGCTTCGTTGCAGAGCAGGAGCATCTCAGATAGCGATGCTACCCACTGCTCTCTGTCCTCCAGTCTGACGATCACAGAGCCCGACATGTCCTTGGAAGCTACTGGCACATCCTCGAGATCGTAGCAAGGAAGTCCTAGCTTCGACATGGGGCGCCGTTGGGCCATCATCTTGTTGGAGGGAGGAAACGTGAAAAGGAAGGCAAAGATTCAAATTCGGATGTCTTGCAGCAGCGCAAGCACTTGAGATGAGAGTATGATGAACGTACTCCACGGCACACAAGACAGTCAAAGTCAGGTCTCCTCGTCTACCTGCTCGACGCTCTTGCCATGCTCGCCTTTTACTTCGTTGCTCTCCGTTTACCACGCCATTTCTCCCTCAAGCCAACGTCGCCTCTTGTCTGACCGATCAGACCGTCGCCTCAACACAAGCATCTTTCATGGTTCATCACAAACATTATTCGCCGACCAGCCGCTCCCATACCGCCGCATCTTCGCGCTCTCCTCAGCCATCTTATGCTTGCTGCCATCCCCGCTTCCTCGCTTCCATTGAGCGGTCGACGAGGAAACTCTCAAGAATGGGGTGGGGTGGGTCATTGACTTGGTACCATGTCCGAGATGAGTAAACTTGTAAAAACCATTCTATTAGAAAATTTTCTATATAAAATATCTATCAACATATTTAACTGATTGTTTAAATGGGTCTAGTCGTTGTCACCCTGACACTGGTGGAACCCAGCACCCCCGTCAGCGAAAAAATGCAGGCCGAGGCACTGAGAACGAAAGGAGATGAAACCACATGTACAACACGCTCAAGTGATCTGATGATGTGAAGAGGAGAAACAAAGAATTTGGAACGAGATGAGCTGATTGCCGATCGATCGATGCTCGTCGTAAGCTATGCAAGACAAGTCGTACGGCGACACCCTTACGAACCTAAAAGTAACATCGTATTGAAACGTTCTTTGTGACATGCTCTTTGATCCTTGAAGAGCTCAGAGTGATTCTGTTCTATTACGCTCGATGTGAAAATTTGCAAAAATGCCAAGAAGCAAAACTCTATCATACTTGAAAATTAAACGAAGATGTACATATATTGAATTCATTGATCAGGGTCGAGTTACAGACGAAAAAAAAAATTCACACTACACAAGTCTGCACATTCGAGCATTCAAAACTTACACACTGGTGTTACAAACAGTTACAAACAATCCACTGCAACAAGCGACATGGACGATCTATGGAGTTCCTGGAGAAACATTCAGTCACCATAAGCAAGATTGTACTTGTCAAGAGAATGTATGCAAAGACGAGAGCACACTTCCATTACAGCAGGAAGATGACCTGCTGAATGGGACAACACTTTTGCAACAGTTTCTTTCGCACGTGACAAGCTCGATCGACACCTCCCATGGCGAGGGGCTGTGGATCAGCGGGTTGTGCAGCACAGCAGACCAAGAGTGAGGATCAGGTAGACATACTGGGTTGAAAGGAGAGCAGGGTGACAGCATGGGGGAATGCGGGAGAAAGTGAAGGGGAAAAGGCAGGCATAATGGAGGAAGGGTAGATTCAAACTAGCATGCACCTTCAGCAGCAAGGGAAAAGGTTCCCGAATTAGAGCTCTACCATCCGCTCGAGAGGACCTACGCCAGCTAGAATCACAATGCAATACCACGAAGCCAAAATCTCTCACCTTTGGATGGTTCGGATTCGGAAATTTCCTCCGAAGGATTCGTGTCTGCTTGCAACTTTGTATCTGCTTTCATACTTGCTTCAAGCTTCTGCTGCTCCGCAATGCCTTGCACCGCGACTGGTGCGCCAATGCCCAAAGCAGTTGCACCCACAAAGGCAAAGACACAAAAGCCGCCGCAAACACACATTGCTGCCGCGTAGGCTTGGCTGAAAGCGCAGACATGTCAGGAGGTAGATTCAAGAAGAATCAATTTGGTTGTTGATGCTAAGAAATGGCACAGAAGGAATTGGAGTAAGATCAATTAGATTGGAGCGAAAAACATAACATCAATCAAAATTCAATCATCTATGCAATAGAGTAACACCTGTGAATGAAGAGGTAAAGAAATGCAGCGTATATTCGAGGTGTAATCACCCAAAAAAACAGTAGGGAAATATTGGAAGGAAAACAGGAGGTAGTTGAAACGGGGTGGGGAGAGAGGACTGAGGGAAGCTGCTGCTGCTGTAACAAGGGAAGATAACTAGCTAGCAGGGATGAGGCCGAGGAGAGCAAGAGGGGCCGAGGATGCAGCAGACGCGAGCCGGCATCAAGTCGCGTGCATGGCCAAGGAGCAATGATCCAAGTTGACGGGTCGAGTTCTCAAAAGGGGGGTGGTCAGATCTTGAGGGTGGTCGAATATTAGACCATGGGGTGTTCTGGAAGTAGAATAGGGGGGTACTTTATCAATGGGGGTCCAACACGAAGGTTCTGGGGGTGCTCCAGAAGTTTTAACCCCTGCAACTTGTTGGGGTAGGTAGGGGTACTAATGTCGTTCTCAAAGTACCCCGTACAATTACCATCCATTATGGGTACTTGAATCAGAGAGGGATTTGAGAGAAGGGACATGGGGTGGGGGTGGTAGAAAATAGTGAATATGATCAGGACCGGTATTTCAAAATGATATCAGACGGGTAGTACAGTATAGTACCCCTACCATCTCGAAATGACGGAACGCAGGGGGTTATATGATGGGGGTGGTAAATCGACGAATGAGCAGGTCGAAGAGCCGTCAGAGCTCATACTACCCCCTTTTTCAATAGGGCTAGGAGGGGTGGTAGTTCGGATTGCCGGCGACAACATGTGGGGGATTCAGGAAATGCCGAGACGGCAACCAATGAGAAAGCAGGCTGCAATGGCAGCGGCAAAGGCAACTCCATCATATCAACAGGCGATCAAGAACCCTATGGCAGCGATGAGTGCAGTACTGACGGTAAGCATGTTCTTATCGGATGATTCTCTTTATATTTGTACTTTCGTGCGATAACCTGAGTTGTTTGTGATGATGGTCCCATTTACTGTCGATAAATGCTGATCCTTCACTCATCATCTCATGACTTTCAGTATCTTTTTTGTCGCCTGATATCCATTCTGAACATTGTTCCGCAGATGTGCAAAGACCAGTCGGTCCCCAACGGCTTTTGTTAAACTCATGCTGGAAAGCAACGCTCATTATAACTGAAGCTGATCTCGTGTGTTTTCCTTTCATGTAACATATAGATTAGGAATTGATCTGATAACATTTTTTTCAACAAACGGTAAATAGTGAAATAGCTACATCCAAAATGATACTTCGAATGCTATTTCAGCACATGCCTTTCCTGATAGAAAATATTGTATCCACAACATCCTAGCATCAAGAGTCAGAGGAGATGGCAGACACAAAATCAGCAAATCAACATGATGGTTGTTTTTGAAGGCCTTCCGAGCTTCTTCAAAGGAGATTCCTGTTTGTTCCGCAATACACCTGCGCAACTTGGTTACACTTGGGTTAAATGGTGTTCGAAAACATCACCTGATGTCCATGTCCTGCTGCCGAAGAAGTTCTGACTGGAATGTTTGATTTGTACAGAGCAAGGATGAGGCCAGCTTTTGGGAAAGAGAGCTCTTGTCCTGGTCATGGTTCTGCTCGGGAGAATTCTTTGAGCTGAGAGAGCTTGTAAGGGGGAGAGATTCCTTTGGTGATTTCGGGCTGGTTCTGTGAGAGGAGGGGAAAGGAAGGCTCATCGCAAGGTCTTGCTTCTCCTTCGTCAGCCCAGCAGTCATCATTCTTCTCCTCTCTGTTTCCCTGGACTTGAGTTCTTCTCCCTCCCTGAACTTGCGCTCTTCTTCTTCTTCCATCTGCCACTTGCTCGTCTCCAGAAGCTTCCCCAACTTTTCCTCGAGCACACCGAGCTCCAACTCTGCCCTCACCTCCTCTCGTGTAGCATCTGCAACTCTGAGCTTGGCAAGTGCTGCCTGCTCCTTGTGCCTCGGCGGCTCGACCCCCGGGGCGCGCTCGGTACCCTGTTGCCTTTGAGGTTTTGAGAGACGAGGGACGATCAGCTCCTGGGGTGCTCCTACTGTCCGGGCGCCAGCCATCTTCATCGGGTCCAGCATGGAAGCGTGGAAAGCAGGCTCTGGCGGAGCTCGGCGAGCTGGGAGGGGATCCTTGACCTTGGTGATGTTGGAGTGAATGCAGGGGGAGCAAGGAGGTGCGGGCTGGGGCTGATCCAGGAGGGCGGCAGGCAACTCTGACCGAGTCTCGGGGAAGACGATCTTTGACCTTATAGCCTGATGCGGGCCTGACTTTGCTCCTCCTGGAGACAAGCTCGAGCACGGGGAAGTAGCTTTGACGCTATCCTCCCATTCCTTGGCTGACTCAGAGGCAAGCTCGAAGCCTTTCGCTGCCTGCTGCTGGCCCATTATCGCCTCGTCCTGCTGCTCCTCTAGCATTGATTCGTTTGAGCTGTTCGTGCCGGGCCCGGCTGCCTCGCGTTGTGAGACGCACTGGCCAACCCAGTCCTCGCGGTGGGCCTCAACTCTTGAGTATCCCTGCGGTCCCTCAGACCTGGCTGGGCTGGGCTGCGTCTCGTCCTTTCCCGACCCGGTCACTTGCTTGGGCTCAATCGTTTGAGCCTCACAGACGCTCAGCGGCACTCCGCTTCTTCTTTGCACGAGAACCCACCTCGTCCTTGAGAACGCTCTGGTCTGCAAACCCAGCAGGACAGAAGAACCTTCTGGGCCCGTGATGATGGACAGAAGCTCGTTGCGGGAGATGTCACACACGTCCATCGGGTCGACCGCAAGCAGCTCGTCGCCCTCCAACACTCCGGCCTTGAAGGCTGGACTTCCATGGATGACAGTAGAGATCCGCGTGGACTTTCCGTCCTTGTCGGTGAATGAGAAACCGAGGGGAGTCTTCTCAGAGTAGCGGCTGATTTCAATCCCGATCACCTGGAACCTTCGCTTGACTACGATGTACATCTTTAGACCAGCACCAGTCACAAGCTTGTTCAAGGAGGCGGCAGACGAGCCCTCAGGGATCAGCTTGTCTGTTGCTGACTTTAGGATCTCTCCCGGGATAATGCCTGCCCTCTGTGCTGGGCCATTGAAGACTACAGCCGCTACAAGGAAACCACTTCCGCCTTCGGCATGCTTGAACTTGATGCCTAACCCGGCCATCTTCGCCATATTCTCATTTGTGGGAAGAAATTCAAGGTCCTCGGAACAGGGGCTTGATCCAAATCTGGAGATGTCGCACGAGTCAACCGTCATGTTGGACATTTCGCTGATCGTAACACTGATTGTCTCCGAGGTGCTATCAAGATCTTGAAGCGAGTAATAATCGGACATCACAGCCTCCTCTTTCACCTGATGACCAGTTGCCGCCTCAACGGTGTTGTGATTCGCTAGCTCTTGCCTGTCATCATGGTTTTCTTCGATCGCGAAAGAAACATCGTTGGACTGATCGCCCACGTGCAGGTTTTCCAGTATCATGTTCTTACTGTTGTCATGGAGAGCATCGAGATTGCTTCTCAAATCCATTTTGCTCTTCTCCAGCAGGCTCAAAGATGTAGACAAATCGTAGGAACCTTGGAAGAGGGATTCGGCAGTTTGATCTACAGTACTCAACGGTTTTGAAAGCGGCTCCTTCAGCTTCTGCTTATCAAGATTCTTCAAGAAGTCTGAACCTGACAGCAGAAGAGAAGACGCAGCATTCCCCTGCCCCCTCCATTCCTCTCTCTTTGATCCCAATGGATTCTCCCAGGACTCACTCGGCTTTCGCACCTGAATACCCTGATCCTGGGCATAGATCAGCACAACAAACAACATGGAATCCGATCAGCTGATGAATTCATATCTACCTTGTCGCATCCTTCGTACTCCTTTGTTCGCTTCTGATGTACTTTTCCTCGATCGCCATCTTTACTCGCTAGCGCTACTGGCTTTGAAAGATCTTTGTTGACTAGCTCACCGAGACTGTTAACCTGCACATCACATCAGAGAGCATCTGATGGGGCTGGGAGGCATACGAGAGCATGACGATCCAAATGAGGTTCAGTGTTGATGGCTGATCTGTCAATATGCTGATTACGAAGCAATGCTGTAGAGTTTCCATTCGCGTCTACGTCGCAGTGATCGAAACTGTTCTTGGTCCAAGATCCATTTTTCGACTTTTTCAAGAAACCAGCTTTTCCTCCAAGTGCCGTGTCAGAAATCTCCCTGAGTGGTTTCAGATTCGATATATTCGTTTCGATCTTGTTGATGTCAACGTCTGTGAGTGGCTTTCGAAACCCCCCTTGCTTTGAGGAAGCAGACAAACTTTTCTGCGACTTGTAATCCCGGTCGCTCGCATACTCGTCCTGGAAGATGAAAATGCTTTTCATCGTAGAGACGAATGAAAGGCTGCCAGTAATCAAATAAGCGAACAGAACTTGTTTTCATAAATTTGAACAATGCATACATGCAAGCACAAAGATATCTATCAAGTTTCCACTGCAATGCAAATAGCCCACAGGTGGCTCATTCATTGGATCATCTCCTGAAATCGTCCAGACAATTCCTCTAACAAGATCTGGTACCTATTCCCTTTGTAGCCTCTCATCTGCATACTTTTGTCTACGCTTCGTCCTCCTCTGCCTCTGACCATCTCCACACATCGCTACTCGCATTCTCGTACCTAACAAATCGAATTTCAATTCTTTACCCGCCCTCATACTACCCCACCCCTCTCCTGATCATAGAAGCCAGCTACTACCCTCTCTATATGCATTATGACCTATACCTTTCACAAGTGTACCCTTTTCTTTCCCTGTGTCTACCCCTCTAATATTGACAACCCTAATCATGTGGACACCTACCCCTACCTTTTCTACCCCACCCACCCATCACGGGCGAGCGGCGGGGCCCCGGCCGGCCGGCCGCGGCCCGGGCCCGGCGCTCGGGCCGCTCGGACAGTCACCCAACGGGCCAATGCGCGGCGGCGGCCCCCCCGCCCGGTGGCGGCGGCACGCCGTGACGGCAGTGAACGGGCTGGGCCCGCGTTTTAAGAAACCGTGGCAGCCGCCAGCACTGGGTGACTTCTGAGTGCCACGCCGCTGCTGAGCCGCTCCGAGCCGCAGGCCGGGCCCGGGCCGGGGGAATAGCCGGGACGTGACGGTTCCGTTGGCGCCTGAGCAGCGCACTGCAGGGGGAAGCAGGAGTTGGGAGGCTTCGGAAAGCTTGGAACTTGCGGGGGCCGCGCCGCCGCCATTTAGTAATTTCAACTTGCGGCCCGCCGGGCGAGGCGCCCGGGCCCCGGGGCCCCGGGGCACGGACGGTCGATCGGACCAACCGTTACCGGTGCATAAGGTTCAACGGATCCGTTACACTCCTTGGTGGATGCAGGAACGGTTATTTTAAGTTAATAAGAATCGCGTGAGGCAATTGACAGTGTAACGGTTGGTAACCGTTCTTTTTTCTGAAAAAAGAAAGAGGCTCGTGAACGAGCGGAGGAGGCGGCATGCAGGAGAGGCGAGGGGGGGCGAAGGATGGGAGAAGAAGAGGAGGAGAGGAGGAGAAAGCTTAAAGGAGCGGTGAGAGATGAAGATACATGTAGATAGATCAGGTTGAAGAAGAAGTATCAAGAGAAGAAGGGATAGAGATACGATGTTAGACGCAGGCATGAAGGAAAGAAGGGGTGCAATGCGCGGTGTGATCGTGGAGAGAGGACGGTGTGGTGTGATACAAGAGGTGTCAGAGATGTACGGCATGCAGGATTCATCGACATGCATGTTGGAAAGATGGCAATGCAAAAAAGAATCGATGTACAGCTAGCATGGTGTGGTATTTGATCTTTCCTTGAACAATCCTGACATCAGTTAATGAGTTGGACTTTCCATGTAGCAATGGAGAACAACACCTTTCTTTGTATCACTTGATTTTATTTACAGAATCTTTCTGTACGGTTGGTTGGCTGTCCTGTTGCAACTTGTTGCTTGTGTACGTGTTTGCAATGAAGCGTCGCCTCTGAGTTTCACAAATTGGTTTGGTTTCTGCAGTGAGTTTCTTTAACTTTCGTATTTCTTTCCATCATTTGAGTGCTTTTGCCTCGTTACCCATTCATGAGAGTGGATGTTTATGTACTTTGAGTGTAGTCTTGGTTCCAATTTTGATTTGACAAAGTGCAACAAAATTTTGTTGCGCACGAATTCAATGTGTATCATGTTTCTAGTCCAATTATTGTAATCTGATTCTCTATCTTCGAATGTATTTATTTGTCATTCAAAGGTTGTGAGGTGCAAGGTTACAATCAAAAGAGGCAGCTGGTAGTCTGTTCTGAGTTAGGGAATGTTACGAGAATCGCTTGCTTGCACACATTCTGACGCTTCCTGCTCAGCATGGTTTCCCTCCGGCTGCAGAAGCGCCTTGCTGCCTCCGTGCTCAAGTGCGGCAAGGGTAAGATCTGGCTTGACCCGAATGAGGTCAACGAGATCTCCATGGCCAACTCCCGCCAGAACATCCGCAAGCTGGTTAAGGACGGTTACGTGATCCGCAAGCCCGTCGCCATCCACTCCCGCTCTCGCGTGCACCGAAAGAACGAGGCGAAGAGGAAGGGAAGACACATGGGCTTCGGTAAGCGCAAGGGTACCGCCGAGGCTCGTCTCCCCACCAAGGTCATCTGGATGCGTCGCCAGCGTGTTCTCCGCCGCCTCTTGGCCAAGTACAGGGAGCAGAAGAAGATCGACAAGCATCTCTACCACGTTCTCTACATGAAGTGCAAGGTGAGGAGGAGAAACGAGGAGGAGGATGGGGGGAGGACAGGAATGCTGACAAGAGGGTCAGGGTAACGTGTTCAAGAACAAGCGCAACCTCATCGAGTTCATCCACAAGGCCAAGGCCGAGAAGGCTCGTGAGAAGTCGCTCGCTGATCAGGCTGAGGCTCGCCGTAACAAGGCTCGCCTTGCTCGTGAGCGCCGTGCCGCTAGGTGAGAGCGAAGGAGGGGGAGGAGAGCAACGTCTGACACTGGTGCAGGGTTGATGAGAAGCGTGGAGTGTCAGAGAAGGAAACACCTAAGGATGAGCCCGCTGAGCAGGTGAGAGGAGGAAAAGAAACTAAAGAGGAGCTGACGTGTTTTCAGCCGGCCGCGGAGAAGCCCAAGAAGGAGAAGAAGAGCAAGAAGTAAACTAGAAGGGAAATTCTCTTGATTCATTAAAACCCGAAAAGACATACTCTACATGTGCCACGGACAAGCAGCACCTGCTCGATCTCTTCAACTCTCTCCTTCCCCTCCTCAGTTCACCTGTTAGTCGCTTCATGTCTGCCCCAGTTTCCTCCTCCAGCAGCGTCAGGAGGAACATCTGCATGTCGTCAGAGCCCACCAGCACTGGCCGTCCTAACCGCAAGTCCCGCAAAGCCCTCGAAGAGCGAGCAGGGGCTGCAGACGGTCAGAGGTGTGAAGGGGAGGAGGAGCGTCACCGGTCGGGCGTCTGTAGCAGCTGCTGCTTCAGCGCTTCTGCTCCTGCACGGAAATCAAACCTGATGCTTCAACCTCTCAATCTCTATCCTCCACTCTTGTCTCCACTCCTCCTCTCCTCGGCATGCTCGCTTCTCGCTAGTCACCTCCTCCCTCCCCTCGCCCCCACTTCCCCTCTCCTCTCTCGCACCTTCACAGTTGGGCTGCCTGGCGAAGAGAGCAAAACGCTTGGCAGTGACCCTGACGCTGGAGGCTGGTGAGACGAGCAGGGGCGGGTGCCGATGAAAAGACCAGGGAGGGGGAGCTGAGGGAGAAGTCGAAGGGAGGGATTGAGGCAGAGAGCGAGCGAGCGAGGGACGGATGGAGGGAGCGAAGGAGGGAGCGAGGGAGCGAGGGAGGGTGCAAGGGAGCGAGGGCGTACTCTTCGTGTTTGAAAGTTCGATGCGAGCAGAGCAGAGACAAGCCATTCCCTGCGACTCCATGGCAGATGCCGAAGCCCTACTCGAACTGTCACAACCCCCTGCCCTCACGAGCTCCCTCTCTAGATTCACCTTCTTGAGGAGACCTCGCTCGCAGATGACCTGCAGCAGGACATGAGGGGGTGGGGGAGCGAGGAAGAGGGACAGCAGGGACAGAGGAGGGACGAAGGACGAGGGACGAGGCAGGAGGCAGGAGGGACGAGGCAGGAGGGACGAGGGACGAGGCAGGAGGCAGGACCCGTTGAGCATTTTTCGCCGCCTGAAGAAAGGCGTTCACTAGAAAAACACGAAATGGGCAAGAGGAAAAGGTGAGCGAGGAAAACCATACGACCAGGAGGGCAAGAGCACTCAAGAAGAGCAGGCAAACAGAGCGAGGGGGAGTTGGAGCAGAAGCAAGAGAAGGAGTAGCGGAGCTTACCATCTCGTAATGAGGTTCACCAAACTCTTTGTGAGCCTGCGCGAGGAGAGGAACAAGTCCTACGGAAGTTCAGCAAGACGTACAAGAGGTGAGACATATAAGGGGCGGAAAGAGAACAAACAAGAAGGAGAAGCAGCAGCAGTATGGGGTCGAGCAACCTGGAGCGCCATGGCACCAATGGACGAGCTTGTCTTGAGCTGAGTGCGGGAAGTCAGTGGACAGGAGGATCGAGCAGAAAAGGAGAGAGGGAGGAGAGAGGGAGGAGAAAGGGAGGAGAGAGGGAGGAGGAGGAGGAGGAGGAGGAGCAGGAGCAGGAGCAGGAGCAGGAGCAGGAGCAGGAGGAGGAGGAGGAGCAGGAGCAGGAGCAGGAGCAGGAGGAGGAGGAGGAGGAGCAGGAGCAGGAGCAGGAGGACCATTGCCCATGGAAGAGGGAAGGTTTCCAGACTCAAATTGTGATGCAATCAATGCATCGACGCATCCTATAAGGAAGTGGAATCAACACAGGAGAACGAAGAAAAGAAGTTGGGGGAGGGGAGGAGGGGAGGAGGAGAAAGCGCGAAGATGAAGAAGATGGGGCGAGACAAAGGAGGAGAAGGAGATAGGATAAGAGCGATGAGGGGAGGGACAAGGAGGATAATGGAGGAGGACGGGAGGCGGCGAGGAATCTTACCCTTCACTCTCTTCTCACAGCCGAACCCATCTGCATCCCCGTCAAACTCTTAGCTCCTTTGACTTTGTTCTCACCGACGAGCTTGCGGAAGTAGAGGAGGATGGTGAGTATGCCGCACAGACCTGTTGCAATGTGAGACGAGGCAATCACATGACATGGGGAAGTGAGAAAGGAGAGATGAGAGGATGGAGGAAGGGAGGAGCAGGGAGCAGGGAGCAGGGAGCAGGGAGCAGGGAGCAGGGAGCAGGGAGCAGGGAGCAGGGTGGAGCGAGGAAAGGATGAAAGGAGGGAGGAGAAGGGAAGATGGAAGGAGGAGAGAGGAGAATGGAAGGAGGCAGGGGGCAGGAGGAAGAGGAGAAGGAGCATGCCATGAGCTGCTCCGAAATATTTCTTGTCATGCCACTCCCACATCAACGGAAATCTGTTGAGCAATCAAAAACGTCCACCCTCATCCTCCTACTCCTACTCCCATTCCCTGCCTTCCTTGTTGCGGTTGGGGATACTGCACCATCACGGGTCAGCCATGAACACGTCAAGCTTGCTTGAATCACTTGGACACATCCTCCTCGTTATATGACACACTGTGACACAGCACAGTTACAACACAAATCTTGTCGAGAGACGATCCTTTACCTCTCTTGCCATGCATTCTGCCACTGCACCGGGTCATATGAGTAGGTGTTACTGGGTGTCTCCTCCGCTAGAGCTCGTGCGTCGTGATGGTTCTCTTCAAACTCATCATCCGAGTGCCCAGTGCCTGAAGGTTTACAGCTCACATCGTATCGCAGAGCAAAAGACAAGCCCTCCACCATTCT